CATGATCTTCAGCCTTCAGCCTACTGTTCTTCAGCCTACTTCAGCCTACTGTTCTTCAGCCTACCAGCCTACTGTTCTTCAGCCTACTTCAGCCCATTGTTCTTCAGCCTACCTCAGCCTACTGTTCTTCAGCCTACTTCAGCCTACTGTTCTTCAGCCTACCAGCCTACTGTTCTTCAGCCTACTTCAGCCTACTGTTCTTCAGCCTACCAGCTTACTGTTCTTCAGCCTACTTCAGCCTACTGTTCTTCAGCCTACTATTCTTCAGCCTACTTCAGCCCATTGTTCTTCAGCCTACTTCAGCCTACTTCAGCCTACTTCAGCCTACTTCAGCCTACTGTTCTTCAGCCTACCAGCCTACTGTTCTTCAGCCTACTTCAGCCCATTGTTCTTCAGCCTACTTCAGCCTACTTCAGCCTACTTCAGCCTACTTCAGCCTACTGTTCTTCAGCCTACCAGCCTACTGTTCTTCAGCCTACCAGCCTACTGTTCTTCAGCCTACTTCAGCCTACTGTTCTTCAGCCTACCAGCCTACTGTTCTTCAGCCTACCAGCCTACTGTTCTTCAGCCTACTTCAGCCTACTGTTCTTCAGCCTACTTCAGCCTACTGTTCTTCAGCCTACTTCAGCCCATTGTTCTTCAGCCTACTTCAGCCTACTGTTCTTCAGCCTACTTCAGCCTACTTCAGCCTACTTCAGCCTACTTCAGCCTACTGTTCTTCAGCCTACTTCAGCCATGATCTCCAGTAAAATGCTGAGTGATTGACAAAATAATCACAATTACCCAAGTGTTGTACTCTTAAATGCTAAAACCACAGACATCACAGAAACTTTTCATTGTACAGGATGCAGCAAGATTATTGCAGCCGCAATGTTATTTTCAACAAAATCTTGATCTTAAGATCTTCTGTGAGCCAAAAATCACTTTGGCAAGAAGATTTAGTGTTTTATGCAAGATGATGCTTATGGCTTAGTGGTTCAAGAATGACACAAACAACATTTTCCCAATTTGATCACCTTTACTGGCCACCCTCAAGTTCTGATTCGATCGATTTCAATGTTTGGAATGTTCTTAAAGCAAAAAACGTGCTCAAAACCGTATTCCAGCATCGATTCGCTTAAGAAATGTCTTTCAAAAAAACATTTGATACCCAATGATTTCATGCTTGATACCATGATTTCAGCTGGAATTTATCAATGACTTTAGCTCCGTTATCAAATGAAAATGAGCATTGTATCGAGTGATAAACTCGATCCCATTTACCATTTGGCCACAGTGGATCCACAGTATTTCCCAAATTTCATGATATGATCTTTTTTTTTAAAGTAAGTACTTTTTATTGTTTACTCAACAATCAATTGTTAAAGTTTTCGAGTTGATTTCTCTTTTATCGATTTCGATTTCTATGGTTGCAATAATCCAGCATTCTGTATTTTTCTGCAGAAAGAAATTCAGCTCATCGAATTCCCATTAACCGGATGATTCAATCTCTGAGTGCTTGTAGGCGTATTGTGGGTTTATACCATTACCGAGAAAAGAGAAAAGAGAAAAGAGAAGAGAGAAAAGAGAAAAGAGAAAAGAGGAAAGAGAAAAGAGAAGAGAGAAAAGAGAAAAGAGAAAAGAGAAAAGAGAAAAGAGAAAAGAGAAAAGAGAAAAGAGAAGAGAGAAGAGAGAAAGAATCGAATCAAATAGAAAAATGAGTAATTCTGAAAAGAAAAGAAGATCTTTTCGAATTTTTCAATCCTCTAAATCCTATCCTTTTTTGTGAAATTCATCCGGATTTAGGATTTAAAAGGATTTAAAGGATGGATTTAAAAGAACAATTAGAAAAGTGGGGTAAGTGGTAGAAAAGCTCGAAATTCATCGGATTTTCGTCTTCTCACATCATTTTTCTGCAGAAACATTGAGTTTTATTTTCAATTTTTGTAAAAACTGATGAATCTTGTTAAAAATCTAGTCTGAAATCTCAAAAAATTCATAAAGGAGAACTTTTATTTTTCAATTTTGAGATTGGATGTGAAATCATGTTTAAAAGGGGGATTTTAGTGGGAGAAATCCATTCAGAACGCATTATAGTCTTTGAGAAATCAAAAAGTTTGAAGTTGATTAGTTTATAGAAAATAAAAAGAAGAGGAAGAAGAAGAGGAGAAGAAGAAGAGGAGAAGAAGAAGAAGAGGAGAAGAAGAAGAGGAGAAGAAGAGGAAGAACAGGAAGAACAGGAAGAACAGGAAGAAGAGGAAGAAGAAGAAGATAAACACTTAAAAGTTGACTTTAGATTATGAAAAAGTTTGGAAAAAGGATTTTTGGTGGGATAAGTGAATTCGATCATGGGAAAAAGATGATGTTTCTTTAAAAATTAGCCAAACCCCTCAAAATTTCAAATTTTTACTTTAAAAGTTTAAAAAACAAACAACTTGTTTCAGATTTTTTCAAAAAAATAGTACAAAAACGGTTCAAAGTTGGATTTCGAGCAGTTTACAAGCCCAAAAATCATTATTGAGATAGAAATTTTGAGTTTCCTTTTTTATATCCAGATTCAAATGAGGTACATTTCCTGAAAACCTATTTTATAGTTCATTTTTTGTCAAATTTTCTTCAAACAATTCGCGAGAACATTTCATAGCACTCCTAGGTTTTGCATTTTACAGTGCTCGAAAAAAAAATCAGCTCTCTCTCACGCTTTTCCCTCATTTTCCTATCGACAAAAGTTGGAGTTGGAGTTGGAGTTGGAGTTGGAGTTGGAGTTGGAGTTGGAGTTGGAGTTGGAGTTGGAGTTGGCGTTGGAGTTGGAGTTGGAGTTGGAGTTGGAGTTGGAGTTGGAGTTGGAGTTGGCGTTGGAGTTGGAGTTGGAGTTGGAGTTGGAGTTGGAGTTGGAGTTGGAGTTGGAGTTGGCGTTGGGTTGGAGTTGGGTTGGTTGGCTTGGAGTTGAGTTGGAGTTGGAGTTGAGTTGGCGTTGGATTGGAGTTGGAGTTGGTTGGGTTGGCTTGGAGTTGGTTGGGTTGGTTGGGTTGGCGTTGGGTTGGGTTGGGTTGGGTTGGGTTGGAGTTGGCGTGGGTTGGAGTTGGAGTTGGAGTTGGCGTTGGAGTTGGAGTTGGAGTTGGAGTTGGAGTTGGAGTTGGAGTTGGAGTTGGATTTCGAGCAGTTTAAAAGCTCAAAAATCATTATTGAGACAGAAATTTTGAATTTCCTTTTTCATATCCAGATTCAAATCAGGTACATTTTCTGAAAACCTATTTTATAGTTCATTTTTTGTCAAATTTTCTTCAAACAATTCGCAAGAACATTTCATAGGACTCCTAAGTTTAGCGTTTTACAGAAAAAATGAGTTCTCAGTTCAAAAAAATGAGTTCTCTCTCACGCTTTTCCCTCATTTTCCCATTGACAAAATCGCTGCTGGAAAAATGAAAAAAATTGTAAAATTGGCTACAAAATTTTTTTGTTTTTTTCCTGGAATAGTAGTTTTTTTTCTCATACAGTTAATGAATATTAAATTGTTTGTTTTGAAGGAAAAAGATTTCTCGTGAATGAGAAGAACGTGTGGAAATTTTGCGATTTTTGAGTTTTTAACACAAAACACGCTGGCTATAGAAATGAGAAGAAAAAAAGGAAAAAAGAATTCGCTATATTAGCTGATTGTTATATTAGCGATATTAACTATACTACCGTAAATACTGTAATTAAACCGGCATCCCCCTCATTCAGTTGTGTAGTCTAACTTCTTTTTAGAAATTTTTCAATTTTTCATTGAAACTGCACAGTCACCTTGGAAACTAGTCTAAAAAGCGTTTTTTCCGGTATTGCTTTTTAATCTATATGTTGTGTCCGATTTAGATTTCCGTCCGATTTAGATTCAATCTAAATCGGACGTCCGATTTAGATTGAACTTATCGCGGACGTCCGATTTAGACTCAATCTAAATCGGACGTCTTATATAGATTGAACAATAATATAAACATGTTTAGTATATGTTCTGAAGCGTTTTCTGTAGTTTTCTGCATTTTCAAAGGTCTTTTATTGATTTTTTCTGAAAAGTAAGGCTAACTTTCAGAAATAATCAATAAAAGACCTTTGAAAATGCAGAAAACTACAGAAAACGCTTAAGAAAATATACTAAACATGTTTATATTATTGTTCAATCTATATAAGATTTAGATTGAATCTAAATCGGACGTCCGATATAGACTGTAATCTAAATCGGACGTCCGCGATAAGTTCAATCTAAATCGGACGTCCGATTTAGATTGAATCTAAATCGGACGGAAATCTAAATCGGACACAACATATATAAATAGCTTAAAGATAAACTCTAGTTTTGTTCTTTGTATAATAAGTGATGGATAAAAGATTACACTTGATTGACGAAAGAAAATCGTTTTTTTTTATTCTGAGTCAATCTTTTCTTCAATTTTAGCGTATTTTATGGGATTTTTGAATTGAAAAGATTAGTATAATAATGCAAATTTATTCATAAAACATGAAACATAAAATAAAAAGATTACTTAAATTACTTAAATCACTTAAATCACTTTAATCACATAAAAAGTATAAGAAAAAAAATGGTGAAGGCAATTGTTCCATTTGGGAGAGACCCGTAATGTCGAATACTCTCAAAAAATCCTTCTGTACAGACATTTGGGAGTGAGATCTATGAAAGAGAATTTAAAAAAAGCTAAACAAAGTACAGAATTTCTAGTAATTTTGATGGGAATGATGAAATGAAATGATGAGAATGAGCGGAGATTAAATGAAATGAGAACAGGTGTGATTAGCATAATAAAGCATAATAATTAGCATAATAAAGCACAATAGTTAGCATAATAAATTAGCATTTAAGAGATCAAATTAGCATTTAAGTGTGGTGAGATTAGAAACGAGATCAAAGTATTCAGTTGAAAGATGACAATTCGGCGAGAATTTGGAAAGATCAAAAATGAGATCAAAAATGTGAAAATAAAACATTGAACTGTAATTGTAATCGCAAAAAACTTGGTCTGATATCATAACTTTTGAAGGAAATGCGTCGAGATTTGTGCCAACATTTGCACCGCGTTTATCGTTTGTTGTTTCATTTTCTCCGGTTTAATGTGCGTGGTTTTCTTGGCTCCGAAGGCGAGGCGTCGAAGCGATTTCCGGAGTTGTTGATGGGTGGAGAGAGGCTCGGGTTTAGGAGAGGCCTCCTTTTTGAGATCTGTAAATTGTTGGATAAGTAAAGAGATCCAGATATTGGGCTTACGGAAATGCTAGACTAAGACTAGCTAGACTAAGACTAGTTGATAGTATTGGACGGCTAGATTAAGGCTATTTCTGCTAGTCTAACATCAATTCCAGGTACTACTGTACCTACGGTAGATAAGTTTATTATTGTACTACTGTAGCTATCAATAAACCCACCAAAGCTTGATTGAGACGATTGCGGTGTCAATGAGGCGTGAGTTCTCAGCGCATCCGGCAACCATTTCATCGAGTAATTTGAGAAAAGCGGTTTCACTGGTTTTGAAAGCAAAAGTTCGATTTCATCGGGCAACGGGAAATCGGGAATCATGGTGAATTGAGAAGAAAGATAAAGCTGAAGAAAGATAAAGCTTTAGAAAGATAGTTGTTGGTGAGAAATCTCGGATTTTATAGGTGAACTGGGGATGGGCGGGTCTCCACCTCCTTCACTGGGCCTTTTCCCTGTTTTTCTCAAAAAAGGCAAGTCTCAGATGAATTGCTCGACTAATAGAAGCCAAGCATTCGGGTCCCCGAGCTTGTTAAACACAAATAATCAAACCCGGTTTTTTTTTCTCTGATTATTTACTAGAGAAATTACAAAATGCGGGGGTTTGATTGCATTAAAAACAGAGAAAAATTTTTTTTTTCGGTGGGTTCAATCAGCGCAAAGATAACTGACATTTATTTTAATTGCTTAAAAATAAAAAATGATTTGATTATCGAAAAGTTGTTTTGGGTATGATCTTTGAATAAAGATGAATGATGAACGTAGCGTTTAGCGAAGATGGGAAGATTGGGAAGATGTACTGTGTAAATGGTTGTAAATGGTACTGGTTTAGATCAAAATCTTTCAAATCTTTTTTTTCTAACAAATCAAATTCCTTTTTTTAAAGTTTTAAACTCTTAATTTCAATTGATTTTTAAAATTTCTAATCAAAAATCAAAACTTGTTGGTTGTTTTTGAGTTCTGAACAGATGAAAGCAAAAGCGAACAGATTTTTGAAGATTTTTTTGAAGCGAACGAAAAGTTCTTTTGAGTTTGAACTTTGAACTTTTGAATAAAGATGAATGATTACGTTAGCGTTTAGCGATAGCGTTACTAATTGGGAAGATGTACTGTGTAAATGGTACTGGTTTCGATCACTTTCAAATCTTTTTCTTTCTAACAAAGCAAATTCCTTTTTTTAAAGTTTTAAACTCTTAATTCCAATTGATTTTCAAAAAATTCTAATCAAAAATCAAAAATTTGTTGTTTGTTTTTGAGTTCTGAACCGGTGAAAGCAAAAGTGAACAGATGAAGATCTGTTTTTTTGAATTAATGATTCTAGTATTTATTATTACTAATTGGGCAGATTTTGATCTAAACCAGTACCATTTAAAACCATTTACACAGTACATCTTCCCAATTAGTAATAATAAATACTAGAATCATTAATTCAAAAATGATTCTGATCTGCTTTTTGATCTGTTTTTTTGAATTAATGATTCTAGTATTTATTATTACTAATTGGGAAGATTTACTGTGTAAATGGTTGTAAATGGTACTGGTTTAGATCAAAATCTTTTAAATATTTCTTTTCTAACAAAGCAAATTCCTTTTTTAAAGCAATTCCAATTTAGGGTGACCTTTTTCTCTATTTTCTTTCTACACGACGTTCTTTTGCTTTTCTGTCATTCAATCTTTTCTGTCATTTGTCATTGATTTAGTCGAAACTTTCAAAATCCTCCGTTGTAAACAGATTAGCCCTTTGTTTATAGACTTTTTCAAATTTAAACCGCGGTCAGGGCCCAGAAGTGGCTCATTCCTTTTGCAAATTCCCTTTGCTTCCAATGCCTCTTTATCAAATTCATTTCCCGTTAGAGCCGCTAGATTATGGAACTTGCTCCCAAACGACATACGAGAAATTCAGTCGCTTTTCATATTCAAGAAACGTATCGATGCTTTAGATCTAGTGGCTCTTTGCCGTAAGTAATTGGCTTATTGATTTCAGTATGTATTGTATGATTAAGTATCACTGTGCATTTCTCTATGATTTCTTTCACTTTATCGTTTGAATAAAGTATTATTATTATTATTATTCAACCACACTAGCTTCTAAACTCTAAAATTGCTTAAAAAATAAAAAATGACTTGATTATCGAAAAGTTCTTTTGAGTTTGAACTTTGAACTTTTGAATAAAGATGATTACGTTAGCGTTTAGCGATAGCGTTACTAATTGGGAAGATGTACTGTATAAATGGTTTTAAATGGTACTGGTTTAGATCAAAATCTTTCAAATCTTTTTTTTCTAACAAATCAAATTCCTTTTTTTAAAGTTTTAAACTCTTAATTCCAATTGATTTTCAAAATATTCTAATCAAAAATCAAAAATTTGTTTGTTGTTTTTGAGTTCTGAGCAGGTGAAAGCAAAAGCGAACAGATGAAGATCTGTTTTTTTGAATTAATGATTCTAGTATTTACAGTCATGGACAAAAGTCTTGGCGGGTCCTGGGTGGCAACTTTCAAACGCAAATTGTATTATTACTAATTGGGAATATGTACTGTGTAAATGGTTGTAAATGGTACTGGTTTCGATCACTTTTAAATCTTTTTTCTTTCTAACAAATCAAATTCCTTTTTTTAAAGTTTTAAACTCTTAATTCCAATTGATTTTCAAAAAATTCTAATCAAAAATCAAAAATTTGTTGTTTGTTTTTGAGTTTTGAACAGGTGAAAGCAAAAGCGAACAGATGAAGATCTGTTTTTTTGAATTAATGATTCCAGAGTTTATTATATTATTCTGAAACATCATTTCATTGATTTGATATTCTGTGTGGTGGGTGGAAAGCAAAAATTGATTCGGGAAAGCTCTCTGTGAATTGGAAAGTGCTTGATTGGATTAGTGAAAGAAGTTGAGAGTCTGACTTCCGAATCGGTGACTCAGAAAAAGGTCAATCATTCAGAAATTAGCTTTTTTTGGAAAGTTTCAAATGTTTCAGATGTCCCAGTTGTTAACATTCGGATTTCAAAATCAAAATAGTCTCTGTATTCGTTTGATTGCTAGAATTGACAAACAAGCGTTTCAACTAATCTGATACTCACTGTGGTTTGTGTCACATTCCCAGATTCAACTTGAGATTTTGAGAATACGGCTGAAACGATCATGAAGAGAGCATTTCGGATCATGCTAAAATTATTGCTCTACAATAGATAGCTTTACGATCTTCTTATACCTCAACATATTGCAAGATTCAGGTCAAAAGTAACTGCTTTATCAGCCTTTATCTGGCTTATCTGGCTTTCACATTTTATAGCCTAGATATAATTGGACTATCGCTTTAATAAAGCTCAGTTTAGACAGAGACAAGAAAGACAAGAAAGTTAGGCAAGAAAGACAAGAAAGACAAGAAAGACAAGAAAGTTAGATAAGATAGACAAGAAAGACAAGAAAGTTAGACAAGAAAGACAAGAAAGACAAGAAGGTTAGACAAGAAACAAAGCTACTGCTGGATAAACATGTTGGTACCGTCTAACTTTAACTTATCAAACATGCTGAAGTTTGTTCCAAAAGATTGCTTGTAGCCTTTGAAGCAGATCAAGAACAAACGATTCTCACAAATGACATTAGAGAGTTTTTCAGGCTCAAATAGAAATCAAATAGAAACTTTTGAAATGAAACAAAGCTACTGCTGGATAAAATATAACAATAATAACAAAATATAACAAAATATAACAAAATAGTACCGGCTAACTTTTATACTTTTTTACTTTTATATTTCAAAATCTCTTTTATCAAAGATTTTTATTTCCAAAATGACTGATTGTAGTCTTCAGCAAACATGCTGAAATTTGTTCCAAAAGATTGTTTGTAGCCGTTGAAATAGATCAAGAACAAACCAGCATTTCTCAGACATTGACTGCAAGATGTTTAGTTATTAGCTGTTTAGCTATTAGTAAACTTTCCAAGTCATTATTTCGAATAGAAATCAATCAATTATCGTTCTCATTGACCTGATTTATTTAATGAAAGATTTAACTATCTTCTAGTTTTTTTTTCAATTAACAAATCCAGCTAACAAATCAATTAACAAATCCAGCTTAAGCTAAAAAACTCGGTGATTCGGCAAGCTTTGCAAACAAGCCTTGCTTTTAGGAGTTGAATAGAATTTTTTATAAATCATGAGGTTTGAAAGTAATTAGCTTTTTAACACTACAACTTTAGCTTCATCTTTGTAATTCCGTGAATTTTATGAATTTTTCACTGGTAAAAAAACTAAAGAAGAGTCGATTTCTATTGATAATTCCAAGATTTCTCACTTCTAACTGGTCGTTTAATAAAGCCAAGACCAGTGTAAAAGACTAGTGTACAAGACAAAAACAAACAACAGAAAAAACTGGTCTCTCTACAAGACTGTTGGCTCTCTCTACAGGTCTGTTGGCTTCTCGTAAACTTCTATCGTTCTTCTATCGTTCTTCTATCGTTCTTCTATCGTTCTTCTATCATTCTTCTATTGTTCTTCTATCGTTCTTCTATCCTTCTTCTATCCTTCTTCTATCCTTCTTCTATCCTTCTTCTATCGTTAGCCAAAGCTCGAAATCTGGTCAAGAGTCTGGATTAAGCGATTTGAAAGCTACTTCTCTTATTTATAGAGTTCAACTTGTTGCTTAACTTTTGGTAGTATTTCATTTGACATCCTTATATACGGTATTCTTTTAGACAACCAGTTTGTTCCATTGTTAACGGCTTGCTTGGTATATGCTGGTATAGTTTAAGAACTTCTAGCTTCGAGGGCTATCAATAAAATGAGTTTTTGTTTACTTCAAGTGGTGCTCAATGTGTTGTATCCCTTCCTTGTCCGATGAAGCATTCAAAAGTTGTCTCGTTGATCTCAGCAATCTTTTGAAGACTTGAAGTACAAGACTAGAGTAAAAAAAAAAAAAAATTCCCCCCCCAAAAAAAAAAACCCTTCCTTTTTCCTCAAAAAAAAAAAACCCCCCTTAAAAATTGATATTTCTTTATCTCGAGAAAGTTTTTTAAATCCAGGAAGTACTCACTGTTCTTTTCTTTTCTTTTATTTTCTTTTCTTTTCTTTTCTCAATTTTCATTCATTTTCATGTGAATTCCACTTGTTTTTCCATTTTTTAAACTCACAAAACAAAAGCGATCTTTCAAATGAACAAAGAAAAAATCAGACAAGAAGACTGAGAACAATTATTTCTTGTAGTTGATTGGAAAAGAGGATTTAAAAAGAGGATTGGAAAAGAGGAT